AAATCTATTTTAATAAATAACAAACTCTTTGAATCGTGCTTATATTTGCTTCTCTTTTTTTCAATTCTTTTTCTTCTACAAGAGATTTTATTTCTTCCTCATCATCATCATCATCATCATCATCATCATCATCATAGTCTCCATAATCATCATCGTAGTCATCGTAATCCTCATAATATTCAGGATTAGTGAGAGTTGAATATTCGTGTTTGTTTGTTTCATTTCCACTCCTATGACAATTAATAATGTATTAATGAAAGTTCAACTATTGCATAATAATGATGATGATGAACATACTTGTCGCTAAATTCTTCCTCTTTTATATTGTACTTGCCACTAAACTCTTCCTCTTTTATATTGGTTTCAACAACAACTTTAGAATTTTTTGAAGCCTCTGCTTTCAGTAATGGTAGCAAATTTCTTGGCCTAATATTAACGCTACAACCCAATCATTTAGATTAATAAGTAAAAATCTCAACAATGTATATAAATATATAAATATGCAATTGATTGATTTACGTTAAATCATCATCATCAGCATAGCGATCATAATAATCTAGGGGTACATAATATCGATGTCCACGGCTTTAAAATATAATAATAATAATTAATTTACATATTCAAAAAGAGTTAATTAATCAATTGAATATTTCTTCCATACTTACAAAACTTGTGCAAATCTATATTCCTTATCAAATAATGCTCCTCTATTTGATGGTGGTGGTGATGGTGATGGTGGTTGTGGTGGTTTTGATAAAACATTACCCTGCTTATTATCAACAATGAAAGGATTTTGTAATAATTCCTTTATAATAGGTGAACCGATCACTTCAACAATTGGCTCAACTGTGTCATTTTGGGGCTTTTGATTGTTTTGACGAAGACTAGAAGAAAGTAAAATAATTTAATCTTAAAAAGTATATATAAGGTAAATAAACCCATTTTCTCTTTTTCATATTAAAAATTAGATAGTTAACTCTTCGTTTGTTGGAGTTAAAATGGAATGTTTATGATCGGGTGTAACCGTAACTTTTGAATTCATATTTTTTCAATATTTATATTATATAGTAGAATTATTACTATTTCGCGTTTTGAAGTTGATTGCTGAAACTAATATTAATAATTATTTACACTTCAATGTAAAATCCAACATATGACAGAAATCTAAAATTTCAATTGCGTGTAACCCTGTTTTTGCCACTTCAAAAAAGGAAATCCTTGTTTCACTAAATTCGACGCGTATTATTTATTATTATTATTTTAATTGAAAAATGTCAACGGAAACGGTGATTAAAAAAAATTTGATGATGAATATGAAGTGATAAATAACTGAATCAACAAATAATTTACCATCGTCCGTCTGTCAATCATTTTATTATTTATAATCTATAAAAAATATGTTTTATATGGCGTTTTGATTTAACCGGCTGTAATTTGAACAATCGAATATAAACTACTTTTTTTCGCACACAATTTAAGTATAGCAAGAGAATTTTTTTATTTATAATTTAATTAATATATATACAGTGTGTTGCAAAAAAAAAACCGGAATTATATAATTGGTTATTACAACAAAACGATCATCCCAAATGATACAAAAAATATCTCTTTTAAAAGCCTAAAAAATGTAGTTTTTATTAATAAAAAATTAATATGGTATACGTTCTCCATTATTTTGTATAATAAGCTCACATAGGCATCGCATAAAATTTACTAAATTAATTAGGACATTATGTGGAATACTTTGCCATTCGTTAACCATAAATCGTTCTAATTCTCCACAATTTTGTGGCATCCTTTTCTCAACATTTCTTTTAACAACACTCCACAGATTTTCTATCGGATTCAAATCTGGGCTGTTCGAAGGCCAGTCTATAACATTTGGTACATTTTCTGCAAGAAAGACGTTGCAAGACGACTTGTATGCTTAGGGTCATTGTCTTGCTGAAACATCTATTCATTCCCAAGCATTTCTTCTATTTCTGAAACGTGCCTGCTAAGTATTTCCACATAAAATGACGCATCCATAATTTGTTTAAAAAAGGCTTGTTTTGCCTTCTACACAAAAACCACTCCACGCGTGAATTTTAGTACGATCCTTTGGCATCCTTCGAACTGGCCTTTTATCTTTATACCAACGTTCTACAGTATTTCTAAATAATAAAAAGGATGTCTCATCGGTAAATAATGTTTTATTCCAATCGTCATTAAGATGTCGTTGGGCCCATTGTACACGGTTTTCTTTATGAGATGTTGTTAACATTGGTGTAGCCATTGGCAGGGCTTTTTTATACCCTTTTTCGTGTATATGTCTAGAGATAGTTGAATAAGATACTTGCACATGATTTACCGATAATTTTGTTGCCAATGTTCTAGTCGAAATTGATGAATCTCTGTGTATATATTGCCCAAAGCTTTCGATGCTTCCGCAGTAATTTTTTTTTGACGGCCATTTCCTCCAAATTGCCAGTTGTTTTTAATTTTTTTATGTTATCATAGACGGTAGAAAGAGGAAATTTTGTACACTTATTTATTTCTTTGGCCTCACATACACCGTTATTCCATAAATGTAATATAGCTTGACGTTGGATTTCTTGTCTTGAAGTAGGCATTATATATTTAATTTTCTCAAAAAAGATTATCAATTATAAAAGATTTCAATATTTATTTTTGAAATATAAGTTCGTCTTGATTTTTTATACGGCACGAATTAGGCTTAATGTAGGGACGCTATACACGTTTTTAGTTCACATAAAAATTTCCGGTTTTTTTTACAACACACTGTATATATATATTATACATATGCTTTATTTTGTTTTAATAATAATAAAAGTACTAATTTTTTTTTTTTACACGAGTAATTTTTCTATAATAAGATTTAACAGATCGCCATTCATTCTGATAGACTTGTGATTTTTGAAGTCGATTATTAGTTCAAGGTCTTTTTTCTTGATGTTCATTACCATTATTTATTCCTTCACGTTTTATTTTGCGTTCAATAGATCTATGTTCATTCTAGCATGTTTCTTGTGATTTTTGAAGTTGATTATTAGTTTGAGGTCTTTTTTCTTGATGTTTATTACCATTATTAATTCCTTTGTGTTTTCTTTTGTGTTCAATAGATCTATGTTCATTCTGGCATGTTTCTTGTGATTTTTGATCTTTACATTTATCATCATCACCAAATAAATTTATAGTGTAGGCATCACCTGATATATTGGTAGGTCCTTATAACTACAACAATGTTGAAGAATCATATAGAGGTCAACCTGAGAGTATCTAAGAGGGTTATCTATCTCTTCAAGGAATGTTTCAGCAACTTGTTTATTAGGTACAAAGCGAGGTCATTTTTTAACAAGTATTTCAAGATAAGTTCCTGTCAATGTGGCTTTTCTGCTTCATAGATTATTTGATTTTTTAATCTTTTCCAGTAATCTTTTGGAGGTTGCTTATCAACCTCAGCAAAATGGAATATTGCTCTTTTATATGAGGTGAAATGAGGTTGAATATAACGAGATCTGTAGTTTAATGATAATTTCCCCTCCTCAAGAATTTTACCAATGAGTTTGTTGATTTTTTCATATATAAACTGCATTCTTTATTGCGATCATCACATTCTTCCATGAATTTTGTTTGAACCTCAAGCATTTTTTTACTTTCCTCATCATAAGTATTAACAGGTTTTAATCCATATTTTCCAACATAAGAATGTCTCTCAATGAGATCTTTTTCCCAGAATTGTAAAAGGGGCCTGTGTCCAGTAACCTTCATTCCATATTTCTGAAATGAATGAGGTAATCCTGCAAAGAAATCATGACCTTTAATAGTCTTTTATCTGAAATTGTTAAATAAATAAATGAATAAATATGATTATTTAATCAATTAAACTTTATATAATTAATTAAACTTTATATAATTACTTACTCAATTATAGTGGTTCTTGCACAGTAACATCTAGTGTAGCATTTTACATGAAACTGCCAATGTATTTCAGTTGATTTAATAATACCACAAAACATGCAAGATCTAGGTGAAGCAAGGAAGAATCTAATATATTGTAATTCATTCCAGCTTGGCGGTGGAGGTTGTTGCAATCCTTTAAAGTAAGCCAATCTCGATTTTTTTCCAAATTTGTTGGGTTCCATCACATTTATCCATTAAGATAAAATGGAATCTTGAACATGTTTGCACCGGTGCCAACAAATCGGATGGTGGTAAATCTTTACAAATATTTCAAGGGTATATTTGAGAAAAGTGCCACTTGTTTTCTTCTGATGGGATATTTACAAGATTCATCACCATATTTATCTATAAATTTTTTGTCAATATTGGCATACTCGTCAAAATTCAAACTATACTTTAGTGGTAAAAAATGAGATTTCTAATATAATAATAAATAAATAAATAATAATCAATAAATAAAATAAATAAATAAACTAATAAATAAATAAAAATAAAAATAAATAAATAAACTAATAAATAAAATAAAAATAAATAAATAAAATAAATAGGGCTTTTTGAAAAAAATAAACATACTCTTTATATTGATTCTGATTAGCACCATAATAAGCTTTTAACGTATCATACTGGAGACAGAGTTCTGAATATGAATTAAACACATTATCAATTTCCAATTTTTTGTACTGAATTTACTGCCTCTGCTACTTTTCCAGGATGAAATCCAGTCCAGACCGGGAATTTAATATTATCAGCTACATAATCTTTCGAAGTTAAAATAGTAGTATTCATTTTTGTATTGATAGATATTTGTTTGTAAATGAATTGAAAATGGGTTGAAAAAAAGAAGATTAAGTAAGAGTTTGTTGAATCCTTTTTTTTTACGCGAAAACTTTTTTATTTTATAATAACAGGTATATAGTAGAGTTTTTAAAAAGGGGTATTTTATTATATATTTAACAGATAATATAAATAATAAATAATAAATTAATAAATAATAAATAATAAATAATAAATAATATATAGTCTATTTATAATTCTAATCATTCTTGTTTTGGAGGTAAACTTAATAAACGAAGATGCTCAATATGCGAACCAAAAGCATCCCAAAATGTATCCTACAAAAATAAGTATTATTTTTTTTAAAACGAAAAGATTTTTTTGAAAAATCAAATATTTACACGCGTATATAAATACTAATTAATAATTACCCTATAAAAATATTTAATACCAAATTCTTTACAAGTTTCTTTGACTATAGGAGCAATATCATGGTAATGATGCTGTGAAACTTGAGGAAAGATGTGATGTACAGCTTGATAATTTAACGAGCCAACTATAGTAGTCCAAAAGTAAGAATCATGAGCATAATCCTGCGTTGTTACAATTTGCATTTCTGCCCAATCCTTTTCTATAAATTTATTTTTATCCGGTAATGGCCTAAAAAAAAAATCGAAGATTAACAAGATCGAAAGTTTTTTCCTAAATAATTTTAAAAAAATTTTACTTACCATTCAACTTCTTCGACAACGTGATTTGCTTGAAATGTCAATGATAACCAATAAGAAGTAATCATATCAGCAGTTACAAACAAAATTAAAACTTTCCATACAGGTAATAATAATAATGGTATTATTATGCGATATAATATGAAAAATGCCTTAGAAAATTTATTTTTTTAGGAAAAAAATCATTAATTAATAATAACAATAATTGATATATTAATAAATATTAATATAATAAAAATTACCTTTCCGCCCCAAAATATTAAAGTGTGAGAAGTGGTCAAGGGATTAATTCTGATGTTATCGTTTGATTTGAGAATATAAACTATAATTATATCTTGAATTCTAACTTTAAATGCTAATAGACCATATAAAAACGGCACAAAAACATGTTGATTTATATATCTGGAGTACCAACGTTGACTTGGTTTAATACGACGAAAATCAGGATCAGCTGACCATTATTATGATATGATATGATATGATAAACAATTAATGAATTATGCATATTTCATGTCGTTTAATTCTTGGATATATATATATAATTAGATAATTAATATGTAAATTTACCAGTTACGATGTCGGGATCAGCGCCTAATGGTATTAGGAATACCAATTAAATAAATAATAAATAATAAATTGAATAAACCATAAATTGATTAATAATAATAAATTGATTAATAGTAATGATAATCATACCAGCAATGTTTGTATATATATGATGACCAAGACCATGTTGGTATTCCCACACAAGATGACTATTCATTATAATATATATTTAATTATAATTACATAAACATATAATAATAATATTATAACACAATATGAATAAAGAACGTACGATGCTCCATTAAGGAAATCATGAGTAGAACCCAATATTTTCCAAATTAATGGACTACTTGTTACTATTAATTAATTAATTAAATGATATAACAAAAGGTTTATTTTGGAATAAATATATAATATATAAATGATTTAGATTTACCTGAAAAATGCGATGCGTCATGTAATTGATTTAATCCAATCTTTTAGTTCCCATAATGGAGAAATTATTAAAAATATTAAATAAGCCACAAATACACATCAATATTTTTTTTTACCTGTGCAGATGCAAATCCAAATACAATCGCAAATAAAATTTGTAACCAAATTCTTTCCACAACATATTGCAAATAAAATTGGGCATAATAGGAAGCAAAAAGAGTTATAAAAATATTGGCATAACGAATCCAAATACTTGATTTGTTCTATATATATATAAATGACAACAAATAATTTTTTTAAGTGATAATCACGTGATACACAATAATATTTTTTCCTCTTACCTTTGGATCGATTTTATTTTTTCTAAAATATTCCTCAACTCTCTAAAGTAAAAGCATTTAAATAAATTAAATATATACACACATGTATAAGAATGATCGAGAATAATAATAATATAGGCACTTTTTTAACTGTTCTATGGAATTCACTTGGTTCAGGAAATATAGGTAATTCATTACTTGTTAATATTCCAACAAAATGTTTTCTAGTAAAATAAAAAAATTTAATATCAAAAAAAAAAAACAATAAAAATTTAAATTTACATTTAAATAGATGATTGATTACTTTAGTATGAGATCAGGTTTACCAAGTTCATGATAAGTTTCAAAAGCCTAAATAATGATCACACGAGGGGGGTTTTTTTAAGAAAAATATTGAAAAAAAATTCTCTTCGTTCAAAAATTTTTTTGGAAGGTGCCATTAATTACCTGGGTTGCATCTCTGCCAGCGGCAAATAATAAAATATCCTCACCACCAGGATGATATTTTATAAAATTGGTAATATCATAAACATTACCACGAATTGCAACATATGCATCATCAGATTTATTATGTTTAGATAATTCTTCCCAAGTAAATTTTTTACAAAGAAAAGAATTTAACGATGATAATTTTTGACGCATATTTTTTTTTATAATTTAAAGATTGTTAAAGAAATGAATGCTTGTGAGAGAGAAAATAAATTTAATTATAAAAAATAATAAAATTTACAGTTATCTCATATTTATAAATGAGAGGAATAATAACAACAACAAATAATATTAATTTTATCAGATTTATTTATTTTCAAAATTAACAATTTTTTATTGATTGATAAAAATGCGAAATTTTCAAAAAACAATACAAAAGCTTAATATTATATATTTTTTTGATTTAATATTATATATAGCTAATTTCGATTCTTTTTTAATTGGAAAAAAATTTTACATACATAATATATATATATATAATGCATGTAATTTATGTAATCAATAAAAAATAAAATAAACAAACAATATTTAGTAAAAATATTTAAATTGAATTTTTCTAAATAACAAAGAATACATACACACATGCGGATAAATATTACACTCGATTGTCCAATTCATTATCCAAATTTTGTAAGTGACAAATAACAAAAACTGATCTGATCGGCATCTATCTACAACAATAATATATATAAATAATATTAATATTGTATATACGTGATTGATTGTATTTAAGCTATTACAATATTAGTTGAAATTGGTTAGTTTTAAAATCGGATTTACAATGTTTTTCGTAAAAAGAGTTATACATGGGAGCATAGGGTACCTCAATATATATTCTCCATATATAGTTTCTTTACATGGGTGTTTTAGGACCCCGAACAATCTTAGGAGATGGTACATTTGAAAAAACACCCACTTTATTGCCATTTTTGGAAATGATTTACAAGATCATCACAAAATTTATTCTAATTAAGAAATGATGTTCGATTTTGAGGGCCATTTCTACCCAAAATTGAAATGTACCACCATCTCCTAAGATTGTTCGGGGTCCTGATGTTTTCTTATAGAGTTTCTATATAGTCATGATTGGCAAAATCAGCGTATATAGTTTATTAGAAATTGCATTTTTCACGTGATATTAAACTATATTTAGAGAGATTTACATAAATCATTCAATTTTTTAAATTTTCACAATGGTTCAACTCATGAATGTTAAATATTCAAATTTATTATTCAGGCAAAAATAAACTATATTGTTCACATGTTGTAAATCGTGAAAGAAAATCTGTGATAGATGAATAGTTACAAACTCAAGCTCATGCCAGTCTTCAATTAATAATAATAATAATTCTCATCATCTAACTTTACCAACAACATATTAAGGAAAATAATTGAAAACAAAATTTATTCATGAATTAGTTAAAGATTTGCTTTGGCAGACATACCATTAAAAAGAGTAGAAAAGCTAAAACTTTTTCTAAAAGGTAGTTGTCAGAATTATTTTTTAAAGAAAAAAAATATCAAATTGTTTTTTGGTTGATTTACTGTACTTATTCACAAAATTCACATTATTTAATAAATTAGATGGATCAATAGCTAGTGCAAATCAACTACATGAGGAGTATTTGCTTGAATCTGGAATTAATAATTTAAAATTATTATTTAACCTCAATCATGATTGATGAAACAACTGACAACTGTGGAAGGAGGCTAATGTTTTATTAAAGATTTAACTATTTATCAGCATTGGCAGGAACTTATATTTGATGATAAAAGTTGTGCACTTTCTTTAATAGATTTATTGAAATGCTCAAAGTTGTTTATACTTCAATAAGGATATTTGTTAAAATCAATAAAATTTCATTTTATATTGTTGTTCATAATAATCAGCCCAAGCTCTCAGAGCACCTCTTTCAGCACTTCAATTATTCAACTTGTCAAACCTCTTCATCCTAATTTCTTTGTTCATCACTTGGTGCTTTATCAGCAGAAGATGTTTTATCCTATTATATGATCTTTTGTTTCTGTGTTACCAATTTTATCAATCAACACTTGGATTTTACCATTAATATGAGAATTAAAATTTTTTTGGATAAACAAAATAGAGGTTTTTATTCATTTACTATGCTCAAATTCACAAATGTGGATATTTTTATGTTATAACTTAGACTTGTACTGGTTAAAAGACCAGTTAACATAAAATTATGATTATTTAACTTGCATTTCATCAAATCATTTGTTGAATTATTAGCAGAAGAGAGATTTGATCTTTATGTTTGTGTTTTGATAGAATTAATTTAAAGAGTTATTATTATTTTATTAAAACTCTTGAAATTGAAATTGAAATAAAAAAAATCAAATTTTATTGAGTGAATGAAATCTTTATTTAGATGGCATCATATCATTTTTTTGAATCTGGCAAATAAAGATTCTGAGATGTCAATTTAAAAATTAGTATTTTATTTCTTTTATTTTTATTATAGTTAACTTAAGTTGGAGCCTAAGAATAGTGAAATCCTAGCTAGATAGGGCCAGCCAAAGCTGAGCAAAATATATATATATAAGAGTAAAGCCCAATGAACCAGGGCTAAAGTATAAAAGAGTAAAGCCCAATGTACTAAGGCGGATATTTTGGGATGTTACTGACTCAGGCAGATGACAAAGGACTGCTGAGAAAGTGTTATCGGGGGGGGTTAAAATGATTAATAGTCAAAGAAATATTAATAATATTGATCATAAAAGCAATTGCATTTTGAGTTTAGAAAAGATAAATAATATTGAATTTGTATTTGTATTGATTGTTATAAATAAAATATTGGGATTTACTGTTGGACATGGATTTTGATCTCACAATATAATTCTTGCTATCCAGTCTGAGTTTCTTTATTTAAACTTGTAATTTTTTATCTTTATCTGTTATTAATTTGTCCAACAATGAAAATTTGTTCTTATCATCTTCATAATGTTGCTCAATTAGATATCAAGAAACATCATTATTTAATCCCTTTCTAGTTGATCTATTTCTAGAAGGCATTATTTCGTCAAATATTGGTACTGAATCTGTTTAATAAACATTTTAAAATTGTAATTATCATCATTCTTGTTATCATTGTTGTTAGGTTGTGAACGTGAAGAAATTGAACAAGTTTGTTCATATTAACACATTTCTAGATTTTGTTTTAGAAATAAATTTATTAACGGTTTAAATTATAAAAACATATGTAACACACATAAAGATAATAAATTCGCAGATCTTTTTTATCATATATTTTTTTTAAATTTCTGTAAAAAAAAAAAAAAAGAAAATTATTAAAAATGTTTCCACCTTTGTCAAAATATCAAACATCAAAGTTAACTTATACACCAGCATTTCAACGTGCTAGAAAACCGTTTATAGTACGTAATATTTTAACTGGCATAATATTAGTTGGATTTGTTGGAGCTGTGTGTATCCTTTTCAAAATAAAAATTTTATTAATGTTATAGATTTTTGAGAAATTTTATTCTTAATTCAAATGATAATAATTAAACGTTGGATCATTAGATTCTTATACAATGTTTGCAATAAAACAAGATGATTTTAGTGATGTTCCAATACCAACTCCACCATCATCATCATCTTTAATAGAAGAAAATAAGTCAAATAATAAAAATTTAAAGGATTAAAAAACTTGGTCAACAACTAATATTTATCATATAAATAAAATTTCATTGATTGAAAAAAAAAGAGATGAAAATTTTAATCTTTAATCTCCAATTTGAGACCTCAAAATTTTCATTGGGATAATTAAATTTCATAAAAAACTTTCTTTTCCTTTCACCTAATTTTATATAATTTTGTTTTTTTTGTAGGACATTCCTGTAATACATTTTGACGGAAAACATTCTTTACAATAATTTTTCTAATTGTAGTTAATGATTTAGCAAAAAATCATTAAAATTAAAATTAATTAAAATTATATTATTCATCATCATCTTTATTTTCTTGAAGAAGAACAATTCCAATTAATTTAATTATACCATGGATTTATTTATATTTGTATAGATTAATAATACATATTGTCCAATTAAATAATTTCGCTCGGTCATTTTTACATAATCTAAAACACATACAGAATTGATTTATTGGTGGAAAAAAAAGAAATTCTTGTCTACTTAATCACGTGATACGCAACTGTAATAAAAACCATGATCGGCATTCAGATTTAAGAATTTACAATTCTTTACAAAATGCTTTCCAATTCTATAAAAAATAATATAAAAAAAAAGGCATTGTTATTACGTATTATGACTCTTAGAAGAGATCCATCTTCTATAATAAAAAAGACTAGTAATGAAACATTTAAAAGAGTCGAGCAGAAAAAAGTAAAAGAACCTTTAACAGTTGAAAAAGAGGATTTGCCCAAAGGTTATACTACATCTTGGAGGAATGAAGAAACATTACCTGGTTGGTTAAAGCACAGGTTTGCGATTAAAGAAAAAATTGGATTTCAACCTTGGAGACCAAAAAAAAGATTATCAAGAGAAGTCATGGATAAAATACGTTATATGAACCAACAGGTATTTGTTAATTAATAATATTTTATGGATTTATCTATATAGATATTGAATTTATTGTAAAAACATTATAAAGTTACCTGAAGAGTATACAATAGAAAAACTCTCTTCTACATTTAGAATTTCACCTGAGGCGATTAACAGAATATTAAAGTCAACTTTCGTTCCGAAGCGTGAAGTGTCGGAAAGACAAGAAACAAAATATCAAGAAAAATTGAGAAAATTCAAAGAAAAGGCTAAATCAGAACAATTAAGGGAAAAAATTTTGTTAAAAGAAAGATCTGAAAATCGATTCGATGTCAAAAGAAACAGAAATATATCTCTGTATAAAAATAAAGAATATAAATAAAATAATTTTTGCAATCATTATTTGAAATGTGATATATCGGCCTTACATGAATCGGAATTTCTATTTTACATACGAATCACACGTTTGTTTACTTGACAAAAAAAAGGAAAGTTTAATATTAGGGGCAAATTTCGAGGAATCCATACTGCGATTTTGGCTTTTTTTATTGAAAAGCCCACAACAGCCGTCAAATAATAATTTGATTACATGTTTATTACTTTCAATTTACAAAATTTAAAATCATACATTTTTTTAAAAAACAAAATATCTACACTCAAACAACCAATATAAAACAACCAAAGCTTATTGACAATATCATCATTTTTTCTTGTCATCATCATCATCATCAGTTTTGTCCAAACAATTCCAATTAATTTCATCTTTACCATTAGCCTTCAAATATTCGTTGGCTTTTGACCAATGTTTACAATTAAAGAAACCTCGAGGAGCAGATAATGGCGAAGGATGAACAGCTTGTAGAACACAATGTTTTTCCTATTCATAATATATGTGTGTTTGATATTAAAAGTTAATATAATTTTTCATATGAACACTGTCTATTTAAATTTAATTATTACCTTGTTGATATTCTTTCCTTTTTTTATGGCATGATTTCCCCAAAGCATAAATACTAATCCACTTTTTTTATTATTCAGATATTGAATTACTGCATCTAGAAAATAGAATTATTGATTATTCAATGAAATAATCTTTATATTGTATCATTTTTATAAATATATATTTTATTATAATTACCGGTAAATTTTTCCCATCCTTTATTGCTATGACTTTCTGGTTCATGTGCACGTACAGTAAGTGATGTATTTAACAATAAAACGCCTTCATTTGCCCAATTAGAAAGATTTCTAAAAAACATTATTATTTACATTTGTATTCATATTCAATCAATATATTAATATAATCAATATTATTATTTATTTACCCATGATTTGGAATTTTAAATGATTCAATATCATATTTCAATGCTTTATATATATTGACAAGAGAGGGTGGTGGTGTTACTTTGTGTGGAACACTGAAGCAAAGTCCATGTGCTTGACCAACACCATGATATGGATCTAAAAAATCATAAAATTTAACTTATTAATCAAGTAATTACATACACATATATATCAATATTAATAATGATTAGGGACCTTGACCAATGATTACAACTTTTACAGAAAATGGAAGTGTCATCCTTGACCAACTATAAACATCTGGTTCTAATAATAAATTAATAATACATTAATATATATAATTTATGATAAGTATATTTATTATTGTTGGATTAATTGATTAATACATACCAGGTGGGAAAATTTTACGATTTTTTTTTTTTTCTCCTTCAAGAAATTTCTTCAACTTTTTTTTCCCCAAATATAATAATAATATAAATTTTACGTGTTATAAAAATTCTTTCCAAATAAAAAACTCCTTATGTTTTCTAATTATTTCACCTCGATAAAATAAGGCTCTTGAATTTCCTTGAGCAAGATTTTTAACCATTCATTACTAATAGTTTTCAATTCTAAACTTAACAATTCCTTATTTTTAATTTCAAGTCCTTCAACTTTAATTGGAGGAGCAGGTTTTGGACTGAGCCAAGAAGTTAAGGAAGTTTGTTGCCTTTTGTTGCTTTTGACGCAAGAAGTTTTATCATCATCATTGCTACTTTCTTTGGGTCTCTTGATCATTTTCGTTTTGTTTACAAAAAAATTTAAAAAATTTGAATTATATTTTAAAGAAAAAGTAAAATAATTATGAAGGAAGAAAGGTTTTATTAATATAATCGGAGGGACCCGTATCATCAAATAGTTCTTGCTTTGACACGTTTTTATGATGGTATTTCAGTGAAAAGGATAAATTTGATCCCTGAAATTTCTTTGTTCAAATGTGTAAAATTTTTAGTGAGAAGCACTGGAACTGGAATTGGCGACGATCCTTAAAATCATCCGCAATTTTGCGCAGCATCATAAGAATATCCAATTTTATTGGTGGGTTGGGTGCGTGCTATCCTTATTTAGAAATCTATTTGTCGATTGCGGATGATTTTTGCGGAAAAAACAATAATTATCAACGTTCTCGCTAATAATGAAACAAGGCTTCAAAACTAAAGAATTGGATTTCACGAAAAAAATGGCTTAATGTTGATATGGAATAGAATCCCCTCCAAAAATTATTTATATTAAAAAATAGACTTTTTTGTTTTCCGACCCGCGTCACATTTCGAGAAAATTCTTTCGCGTTTATTTTTTGATAAGACCGTTCAAATTTAGAAATCATTTTTTAGAAAAAAGTATGAGGGGAGATAATAAAAATTTAAACATATTTAAAATTAACGGTAAAATTTGGAAAATTTTTTTTTATTTTAATTGTTTTTGAAAGTAGTTTTATATTTGTTTGTGACTATAATAGAAAATGGCATTACTGTCATAAAATCTGGCATAATTAATATTGAAGAAACCAAAAATTTTCAAAAGATACACAGTTTCTTGAAGAATTACAAAATGGATTTATCGAAATGATGAAAATAACTATACTTGCGGAATAGAAGATTGGATGCTTACCTCACAGATGCTTAAAGATGTTGTCTTTGTTCATCAATTTATCACATATTATTCTCCTATTGAAAATGGATATTATTCATCTCGCAAAAAAAACCCACCTATTTGTTACTATTATGGCAGGAATAATTTATTAGTTGAGATAAATGAAGATTTGCTTAACATGCATCAAACTGTATGCCATCTTTGTTCTAATTGTGAACTTGCTGGTGGTAATTCATTTCATACTTAGGTGGAAAAAAAAAAGTATCCAAAAGAAGAAAAATAAATGTTTAGTCATATGTAATAATGAGCTAATGAATGGATCTAATAGCTATTGCATTCACAATCCCTGATATGTACACATACAGTGTGTAACGAAAATAATAGCGGTTCACGATACAACATTATTTTGCATAACAAACAATAAAATGTGTTGTTTATCATGATTCGCATATCTTTACCAGCTTTATTATCTCTCATCAAAGACATTTATAAAATAAAAAGCTTCGTCTACTTCTAGGAGCAGGCAGAGTCAAGCTGCCACTTATACTTGTAAGATACGCACTCTCATTGATCCACACTCATTTAACCTAGGGTGGGTTATATGGGCAAAGGCCCCCATTTAAAAATAACAAATTCAGTTAGTCAAATAAAAATTAAAGAAACAGAGAATTTAGGAAAATAATTATACAACAAACACTATTTTACAACTTTCCTCTTAACATCAAAGCCAAATGCAATTTCAGGGTCACCAGCCTCACTCCGAATTGTAACCTCATGTGCTTGAAACAAGCTGCAGGTTCTCTTAATATTCCTCCAGAGTTGCGACTTCTTGGACACAGATCCATCCTTACCCTAGAGGTAGGATTGTTGTAGTCAACTTGTCAGCTAACATGCCAGCCGTCTCTGGTCTGGGAATATTAGTGAAAGCGTCATTGACAATTGATGCAGTCTCGGTAAACTCCAGGGCCAAACATCCCTCCCCTGGAATTCTGTTGCATCATCATATCATCGAGGATGACTCAGTCAGATCAGTCTTGTGCACACGAGGAACATGTGAGAATGACTGTAAAATGTTCAAGGTAGCGTGTGTGCTTCAACACTTGTCAAATTTCCGATAATCAAACGTCACATATCGAAATGTTTCATATTTGAATTGTTTCTTTTTCTGCCTTGACATCTTGTAATTAATTATATATTTATATTAATGTCAATAATATTAATATTGATTACGAAAAGCCAAATACCAATTGTTTACCATCTTGATGAGAATCTTATAATTACCCAGCAAGATCTGCTCCGAGTTTTGATTTCAATAAGTAGGGTTGTTAAATGGAGCATAATGTTCTGCCATCAACCCGGGTTATGTATCACTCCATCATGGAGTGGGTTAAGATTTCTAATTTTTTGTACTAACCCGGAGCAAAATATTTTATTATAACCCGGGTTACTATATAATTTTTGCTCCGGGTTGCTCCAAATTATTTTAGTAATTTGATTATTAATCAATTAATAAAATAATAATTTGTTAATTTTGATTTCTTTGTTCGCGGATTTTATTATGACAGAAAATTTATGAAAATTTATATAAATACTTTCAGATAGTGAGCCTGAACCATCAGGTGAATCATTATTAAATATAAATAGAGAAGAAATTGATTTTTAGTCAAGAAGATAATGAAAGTTTAATTACTACTACTACAACTATAACTACTACAACTATAACTACTACAGGTATAACTACTACAAGTACAACTAATACTATACAAGAAAATGAATCTAATTCATCAAACACTTCACGCGAAACTTCTTGGGTTTGGGAATTTTTTTCAAAAGAATATAATGATAAACAAGAAATTATTACATATATTTGTATAATATGTAAAAATCGGTATATTTTTTTTTATTTTCTTTAAATGAGAATTATAATTATTGCTCCATGGAGCAACCCGGAGCAACCCATGGAGTATTAACCCAGTACATTTAACCCGGGTTGAGTTAGGTTAAACCTTGCTCCACTATAATATGAACCCAACCCAACCCATTATGTTCCATTAACAACCCTATCAATAATGCAAATTAAAAAAAAGTTACCTCTGGTTAGTTATTAACACGTTTGTTTTTGGAACCAATCGTGCTAAACAACAACACTCGCGTTTTGTCATCTGTCAAAAAATAAAAAAAATCAATCGCGTCAATAAAAAAAAAAACAGGGGTCCATACATAAATAATTAGTGTATATACGCATTTTTGTCGATCAAATAAAAATTATTTTTATAAAAAAAAAAACAATGTCTTTTACGACGAAAAAAAGAAAATTACTAGATGATCATAACCATGAGATCATTCATGGGTAAGTGTTGTTTATCGTAAGAATGGTGGTGGTGGTTATCGCCACCACTCGTCACTAGTTTTTTGAAAAATTGGCATCATGGTACAAAAAGTTCAGCGACTAAATGACTTGCACTATAATTGACTTGTTGCCTTTTATCATTACTCCAAGAAGCATACAGATATGAAGGGGTATCTTCATTATAACCTATTATTTTATCATTTATAATAAAAATTCACTATGATTAATCTAATTTTATACTCAAGAGAAATCATGGTGATAATAATGAAGACACTGAGACTAACATTAACAATAATGAAATAGTTGAAATTACTCAAACAAATAATGTTATAATGCCAACAGTTGAAACATATCAACCAATTGATAACAATCAAAATAACCAATCATTAAATAATATTCATAGAAGTAACAATCACCATCAACATCATCAAATCTCCTCATGTCATTCTCATACCATCCCCGAACAAGATGTTGAATGAACAAGAAATTATTATTAATGCTTCAGAGGATGAGCTAGTTATCATTCCTATGCAAGAACAAGAAATTATTATTACTGCTTCAGAGGATGAGCCAGCTACCATTCCAACTATATTTGCCCATCAAAACTCAAAAGGAAAATGGACAAATCAAGAAGTAGGTATCCTTTTGAAATTTGTTTTGGATAAAAAAGTTAATACTGAAAGAATTAAACAATTGGGGATTCATAGAACAAATGCAATATCCAATAAGGCAAGATTAATGAAATAACAGATAAAAAATTTATTTGGTGTTTAAAATGTATATTTGGCAATAATAATTTACAAATAAAAAAATCATTATAATGATTGTTGTATGTATAGTTTTTTAAAAGTTATGTGTAGTTTATAAAAACAACATAAATAATAATAATAAGCCAGAATTACAACAGGTATTCAATTATTTAAAGTTAAATAACAAAACTTTAAATCAATCCAAGTAAGGCTCTGAACAAATCAATGAAATTCAAATCAAGATCAAATCACCTAATTTTCCTGAAATTTTGGTAATACAAATGTTCACGTCTGGTTTTGTTGCAAGCATGCCCCATATATAAATCATGCAAGAAATGTTTGGCATAGCACGTGTGACTCTGGTAAATCACCACCAGCTCAAAAATTATCCCAATGTGACAATACAAAATTAATTAATACTAATACGGTGATTCTTTATCATATAATGACGAACAAAATTAACTTTCACTTGACATGGTATAAATTTGTGAAATTATTATAGTAATAAATATTTCATTATTATTATTTTTTTTATTTATTTTTTGGTAGAAAAAGATGCATTGGAATATTGGCTTACTGAACATTTACGTTTGAGAGGTGTTTAACGGCTTTTAGTTCTGTTAGATCATGTCGACACACTTAATAGAGAAGATGTAGTTAAATATTTGGCTTTTTATCAACATGAAAATGGTGCTCAAATCACATAAACAAATAAATAAAAGTTTATTTATTACATATATTTGAAAAAAAAAACCATCAAAGACTTATTTATCATTATGTATTATTATCATTGATTTAGGAGGATTTGGTGGACAGATTGGTCATTATCCACATTCATTGCACACATTGACGCAGTTCAAAATTTAGTAGTAGAAGATTCTTTGGAATCAGTTAATGTTTATAAAATTGTTGAATGTCAGTTGACTATTCAACACAATTATATTTTTCCTGTTGTATGACATTAACATATTTCAAAAAAAAAGTTAGATGTTGCATCTCGACAAGATCAAACCACCGGTGTTTTTACAGGGGATGGACAAGGAGAAATTGTTTAGATGCTGAGAATGTTCAAAAAGCAGTGGAATTTATAATATTGTGTAAGAATTTTTATGGCGGATTGGAAGTACACCTGGTGCAGGATCACATGCAGGCCAAAGTTAGAATTTTTTTAAAAAAGGAAAATCATTAATTAGAAAATTTTATCAAAAGTTTTTTGTTGTGTTGGTGCGCTTTGCTATAGTGAATTCATTATATCTGGTTGATGCAGATTTGCTTTGTGTACGTCAATTAAAAAATGGAGGGTTAATTGAAAGATCAGAAAAACTTGAGAATGGTAATATTTTTTTATTTTTTTTACATTGATCACTTAATTTATATTACTTTAGTTATGTTATTCTTATCTGCTCTTAACCGATTAATAAAAGTAAATCAATTAGCTCAGCTACTTATATATAAATATATATAAAATTCAAAATTATTTAAAAATATTTCTTTTGTGTTAAGACCTTTACCATTATTTCTATGCAGTATTGCTGATAGACCATGTGATGTGTTTCATACATTATTTAGGATTGTAGGTTATATTTTCTATTTTATTATTAAAAAAAGGATTATCGTTATTTGTTATCTAGGATTGAAATTAGTAAATCCAGTTTATTGTTTGCCAAAACATATTGTTCAAAGAATTGGTTTAGCAGAAAAACATCACATATAATAATATATACTTAATTATTCAGGAATATTATTATTTATTGCAAACAATGATAATGGTGATAGTTAATTAAATATAGTTTATTATTATTTTTTTCCAATATATCAAAAAATTAAATTATTATAATATTATTATTGTTATTATTATTATTGAAAAAATTGATTTCTTCTTCCATTGCTAATAATACAAAAATCATTAAAATATAATATCCTCGTCATCATTTTTTTCCAATAAATCTCGAGGTCTTGAATCATATGAAGAATAATCTTCTATGAAGAGCAGTAAATATTAGAAAAATTTCAATTTTAGAAAAAACGAGGGGGGGATAATATTAAATAGTTACCAGCATTTTCTATAAGTGAAAGCACTTTCTTTTCTTCTTCGGCTATCTTTTGATCTTTCTTCTTTTTACCTTGTACCTTTTTTAATCTTTTATATTGAAAAAAATAAATAAATAAATATTGTTTTTTTAAAAAAAGCCTATTTTTTTCAATTCACCTAAAAAATTCTTCACGATCTTGTTCATCTAATTCAGAAATTATGTATCTGATTGTATTTTCTAATCTAGGTATAATAACATGTTCTATAGCATTAACACGACGGTTGGTTACTTTAATGACTTCATCCAAAATCACAAATGCGGTCTAGAATGATGTAAATAATTATTGTTCAAAAACATTTTTTTCTAAATTTCTAATTTTTAAGAAAATATTCTTACTTGCAATGAAGCCAATTCTACCAAAGTCTCCACTGCTTTAATATATGTCTCTTTACATTTGTGAACTTGTTGACCACCTCTTCCCAAACCAGTTAACTCAAAATCTAAAGTTTTATATCAATCAATTGGTGCATTAAATAAACAAATGTAAGATGTATGTATATGGTCAACAAACCATTTCCTCCCTCCGTATAATGTTCAAAAACCGGTAACATGACACCAGAGACATTTTCTTGTTTGGTACGAACACGTAATTGAGCACTCTTGGCACTTTCTTGAACTTGATAACTAAATAACATAAAGCCGTATAATATTATAGTAATAGTAGTAATAATAAAAAAGTTACCGTTTCTTTTTTCTTTCCATTTAAATGAAAGCTCAAAATCTTGCTTTATTACAAAAATATTAAATAAACCTAATGTCGCCAGCAATATAAGTCACTTCTGCTAATGAAAATGAAGCTGTTTGCATAACTTTTCCCATCTTTCTTTTAGCCTAATATACTCCAAACAATAAAATCTGTTTAATATTTAAAACAGCAATTTCAAAAAAAAATTTTAGAAAAATAAAAACTCTCAAACCTCATCAATTTTTTGAGTTATAGTTCGGAACCGTTTTGTTAATGCTTCACTTTTACGCTTTAACAAACTATGACCAGTTTGTGCACCTTTCAATTTTACCTTCATTGTTGTTAAAGCCCTAATCATATACGAAAAGGTATACTGTTAAGCTTTAATAATTCTGTTACCCCCAAAAATGTAATTAATAGTGGAATAGAAAGGTAGCATACATTCGGGTGGGAAAAATGTTAAGTCTAGGGCCTGTTCCTGACATTGTTTAATTCTTTTTATAATGTTAGTGATTTAAAAAAATTTAATAGATTTAGGTTTCAAAATAATGGTTTATTGTAAATGATCTAATCTGGATATCAATTTCTTGATAATCAAATAAATATTAGGTAACATATTATTTATTACTATCACAACATATTAATATAATAATAATTAAAACACTGTTCCGTCAGATTTTATAGCAATAGGAGGTCCACGTGTCTTTGGACGTAAAGAAGCAGCAAGTTCTCTTCCAGCCTAAAAATCATATATAATTAAGAATTACCCTGAATATTATCAGAAGGTTAGAAATCATCAAATAAAAATATCACGCACTTTCCATGTCCCTGCCTCAAGTACTTGAGCTAATGAGAGTTGTTGTTCAGATAAACCAAGGTGATCTCTAATTCTCTGTGCTACTATATCTAAAAGAATTACTGTCATGGCACGCCATTCAACCACCAAAGAATCATCAGCTTCGAACATCGGAACAACCTCCAAATCATTTTTTGAAAATTTTTTGGCGTAATCGAGACCACGATCCATATCAATTGATTTGAGAGTTAAAACACCAGTATCAACAAAAAGACCACCTTAAACAATTCATAATATATTTATTTACATGCAATTAATTAAATAAATGGAATTTACGTAAATTTTATGCAAATGATATGTATATATAGTTTAAAAACCATTTCTATATTCTGGCAATCCAGTCAAATGTTCTACTCCCTCAAATTTAACACCATATATTTTAGTGATCGGTTCCATAAGCGAATAAGTTAGCCATTGCGAAAGTTTATGAAATGGAATAAGGTTTTCTGTAGGATCATCGACATGTGCATCTGATGTTTTTTTAAGACCATCAAATGGCCATACATCTCCAAGAGAAATTCCTGCCACTGAAGTTCTTGTTGGAGGCCAGACATCTGAAAAACCATCAACAATAACTGACCATAATGTATCAATTTTTACCACAATATCATTCTCTTGTTTTATCGAATTTGATAAAAGATAATCTGTAATGATTTAAAACTTTTTTAAATGTTGATTCATTTATAATGGTAATAAATTATTGTTATTATAATTTAATACCTAATAAATTTCCAGGTCTTGGTGGCTAAAGATTCTTTGTGAGTAATAATTCTATTTGATATTTAATTTTACTGAAAAGATTATAACTATATTGGGTACAAATAAATATATCTATAAGACATACCAAATTATCATTTAATTTAAAAAACTCAGGATGACTTTTCAATGCATGACCCAACCTAACCAACAAATTGGAACGACCTTCAAGACCTGCCAAAAGGTTATTATCATTAACCTGAAAAGATTTACTAACATCATTTACACTAATATTTATCAGTTTGTCAGCTGAAATTTTAGATAAAATAAAATAAACATTATAATTGCCATTCAATGTGTATATATATTTGATATATAATAAACAATGCTCACCATTAACTTGATGTGGTTGATTTTCTTGACTAGAGAAAATGCCAGACTTAAACATATCCAATGAAGCGATAGCTAATCCTTCAGATCTATTATACACTTCACCGGATCCAATTTCCTTATAAGACCAAGTATTTCCAGCACCAGCATCTAACAAAACTGACACAACAAATAAATCAAGAATTCTCCGAGTTATTTCAAGTGTATCACAATCATCTTTCCAAGAATTGATCAGAGTCCAAATACGTGAATGCCCCCCAACATCAAAATGACGCCAACGGCCATGAGGTGGAATATCATTGATATTTTTATAATCACGCTTAATAAGTGAGGCCATTACATTAATAACCTCTTGGATATTTGATAGATTTACATGGAAATGATCAAGGTTGTTGGTTTCGCCCTTTTGATAAATTTTATTTGAACGTTCGCGAATGGCTCTTAAACTTTTAAGATAATTTATTTTTTCCAGCAAATCCAAATTATCGGCTGACATTTCTGTATTTTCTTGAATAATGATGATGCAAATTTTCAAAAATAAGAATACAATTGCAATTGTTAATATATGTGATAAAATTGAATTCACATAATTCATATGCAATGATTTAGTGTAACATTAATGATGATTACGATTTTGTGTAATTTCTATGTTCCCGCGACTGTCACGTGACTCCAGTCATAATTTTAGATTTTATTTTACCGTGCGCAACCAATAAAATTAATTTATCAAAAGGTTCTTTTTTTGTATAAATATATATATTTCATTTTATATAATTAAAATGTTTGAAGATTTTGGGTTCATCACACACAAAATTTCTACATCCTAAAACAATTACGAAAAAAATGTATTGATATTTTCTGAAGGCAAAATTAATAATTTCATTTAAAAAAAAATTGTGTTACGTATTAATATATACTTTCTTAAATTTTATTTATAAAGATGCATACTATAATTATAATTAATTAATAAATAAATAAATAAATAAATAATAATTACAACACAAGCACTACATAATGAAAAAATCACATATGAACACACTGTATATGAGTATTAATAGGACTTCCTTTTTCTATTGTACATAATTCCAAAAGTTCTCTAGCTGCTGACAACGATATACGTCCTTGTTCAATCATACGTTGTGATATACTGGAGACAGTATCAGTTGGACAACCGGCTGCTATAGCTAGATTTTTTGCGTGTAAACTCATATGACCTCGTTGTATTCCTTCAGTTGATAGTGCTCTGAGAGCTGCAAAGTTTTGTGCAAGTCCTACACACGCCATAATCTTTTTTAAAAAAAAATTAATTAAATAATTTATTGTTTTTATAATGTATTATAAAAAAATTTATAAATACCATTGATAATTCTTTAGTATTAGGATATCCCATAATTCCAAGGTTATATGAATAGACAGGGTTAGTTTTCAAGACACCACCAGCAGTGCCAACAGTTATTGGCATTTCCAATTCACCACAAAACATTAATTGTTGTTGTTTTTGGTAATCACCATTGCCATTTTCATTTTTTTCGATCCAATAAGATGTTAAAGGTCGATAATAATTATAATCATTGCCATTATCATCAGCATCTTTATTGTTGTTGTTGTTTCTCGAATTATCACAGGCCCATGCGTGAGCAGCAGCTTCAATGGCCCTCCAATCTTGACCAGTAGCAATGGCAACAGCATCAATTCCATTCATAATACCTTTATTATGGGTTGTAGCACGGTATTCATCTATTTCTGCAAATTCATAAGCCTCTATCATTTGATTAGCCACCTTTTCACCTGATAGATCTTTATAAGCAAGCATTGATACTGGTATAGAAAACGATGCCTGATAGTTTAGAAGTTGAATGGTTAATAGATGATAAAAAATTATTTTATTTATTTAATAGCAATAATAATCATAGATTTATATTTATAGTTACTTTAACAATTCTTTCCACATTTAAATTGCTTACTATTCGTAAACCAATTCTACCACCTGTTATCTCGCTCAATAATGGTGCTACACCTTCAGCCACGCTACTTGCACAATTAGCTCCCATGGCATTACATACATCTATTTTCAAATGTATAATTAACCATTCGTTGGAGTTTGGTAGATGATTGTTGTTATTATTATTGATATTTATAATGGGTCTTTTGTTTTTACGTGGGACTCTCCTAACATCGATATCTAATACTCCGCCACCTCTTTCAACCATATTTTCACAAAATTTATTAGCAAATTTAATTATTTCTATTTTATTATCCAATAGCTAGTTTATTTTGTCCATAAAGAAAAGAAATCAAAAATCAATTTCAAGTTACGTAATTACAATAATATAATCATCTCAATAAATAAAATCAATATTACCTTTTTAATTGACAGGTTCATGGAATCTTCAGGAATATCTAAAAGAGCAACCTGAGCTATTATCATATTTCTTTCAGGAGCTATTGCTGTAAAACCTTTATAAGAGGATATTGTTTTAGCAGCTCCAGAAACAGCAGCAATGACTGATGGTTCTTCGATTGACATAGGTATAACTATTGGTTTATCATTGATTACAAAATTAAGAGCTAAACCAACTGGCAAACCTATTGTTCTATTTAATATAAATTATGTTAGTTATTATATAGGTTATAGTTAATATTATAATCAATGATTAATAAAGGATATATTACCCTATACAATTTTCAATCATATTATCAGCAATATTTTCATCAAGTCCGTTGATAGGAAAATTATTATCGTTAACATTTAAAGATTCCAATTTGTTGACCAAATAATTGACTTCTTTATTATTATTTGTAAAATTTAAACTAATGGGTGAAGTACAAGGAGAAGTATTAGGTGTTGCGTATACTGAAGAAGAGGTAGATGATGTTGATAATGGTGCTTCTTCAGTGGCTCCTGTTGTTATTGTGTTATTGTTGTTGAAAATATTTGGAAAGACCAGCTTTACCTGATTTTGACGTTCTTGCAAAGGCTTTTTATAAAAGCCCGACCATGTTAAAGTGTCATTGTTATTAAAATTTGTTTTGTGGGTGAATCGGTGTTGCATTATCGTTTGTGTAAACACTTTTAAAGAACAAGTGTTTTATTTTCAAAAAAAAACAGAAATTGAACCAAATTACCAACAATACTAATTCCTTTTATTTTATTTATTTACATTACCATTTTGACCATTTTGGGAAATTTTACATTTCTATATAAGTGCAACATAAAATTAGGTTAACCTTTTTTTCATATGTAAAAATTGTTCAAAATAAAGATATCTGGTATTAGAGATCCGTTATAAAGAGAATGAACTGCATTTAAAGAACTAATAAAATCATATTAATATAGTTGTTGATGTTCTTAATAAACCATAATAATTGTTGTCAATAATTTAGTATTAAGGTCTTTAGAAAATAGAAAGGGACACAAAACTTCTATATGCAGATCATTTGACCTTCCAATTGTCAAAAGTATTAATGGTTATACTATATAGTTTAGATTGATCAAGATTTCATTGAAATATGTCAAAAATCAATGAGATTGTCAAAAAGAATACGAGTGTTATTGATTCTATTAACGAAACTTTAGAGAGTGTTAGTCCTGATATATAAATAAATTTTTTTCTTTACCTATAATCTCATTGACATAAAAAATAGCTGAAACTTATAATAATAATATTAAAATCTTTTCAATGTGTTCGAAATTCGACTGCACCTTAACAATAAACTAGTCTAAATTTGGAAATCACATTTCCGGGTTTGGTTAGCGCGAGTCGATTCAAATAATCCAGGCGTGTTAATGTAACGATCTATAGATCTCCATTTTTTCAAAAAAAAAAAAATATGCCATCTTGTAAAAAGATTCGTGAAGAGTTGATCGATTGCATGCTCAAGTCAGATTGTGTACTAGTTAAAAGACTTACTATTAAAGGTGTGAACAATTACTTTTATAAAATGTGCATGGGAAGCAAGTGAATTATTTAATTGACTCTAAAAGCATCCAGATATTCATTACAAAATTTCTTTATTGAAGAATGTTTTAAACCTGAAAATTATGATGACGTTCCTAGAGATTGTCATAGTATTCGTAAAAGTTTTTTTGAGTGTCGAAGAGGTTTGGTAATTGTTATTATTATTATATATTAATTAATAATAGATTATATGTAATATTTATTTTAGATTGAAATATAATCTAATTTATTATTAGTTGGATATGAGAACTAGATTTCGTGGTAACAAATCATGAAATTGAATAAAATATTCGAGGATTAATTGATTTGGATATTATGTTTATTATAAGGACATTTCTTTATTCTAAGATTTTTAATTGAGAAAAAAAGAAGAAAAAATTATAATGTATGTAAATATAAATATAATGTGGATTCCTATAAAGAATTTTCTACAAAATCAGAAACAAATCAGGCGTTCATATTTTACTGGATTATAAAAGATGATAACTGTTAAAGGACAAAAATCAGTAATAAACACCAATTTAGGAATACCTGATTTAAATTCTTTTTTTTATTTACAATCCTGATATTATGAGAATCAGCGATTATTTTTATTTATTATTAAAATTACAAATGATACCAAAATTGTTTTTTTTAATCTGCTCATATATTTTATTAGAAAATAAAGTAAAATTAATATGATGCTATTCCTCTTAGAAATAGCCAAAGATCCAAACAAAATATATGAAGTTTAGCCAATGAAATCAAATGTCCACTATGCTTTGAAAATTACAAACATGATCGATCAACAATAGTAATTTGTCATGTGACAATTGCATTTATAATTTTTTTTAGGAAAATTTCAATAAAAATAATAAATGTCTACTTTAAGTGTTGACACTGAAAAAAATAAAGACAAGATTGACCAAATCATCAAAAACAATAATGGCAGCAAAATGATTGAAGTGAGTAATGAAGAATTTTATGATGATGATTATTTTGATTCTGATTTAACTGATGATGATGGTGATTATGATGATAGTAGTAATAATAGAAATAAAAATTTTAAAGGTTTTTTTTTATTTATGAAACTTTTCTTTTAATTAATAATATTTGTTACTCTATTCACATCTCTAATTAATTCAATAATCAAGGAACAATGTCTAATCTGAAAAAAACTAGAAAAGAATATCGTAAAGTTTTAACAAATGATGAACTATTTTATGACCCAGATGTGGATGATGTAAATGAATTATGGATGCAAAGAAAATTATCAAGTTAGTTATTTATATATCACATATTTGTATTTATATTTATATTTATATTTATATTTACTATTTATATTAATTATTGATAATATAGAACATAACAAAACATCTTCAGATCAAAAAACTTCTACTACACCTACAAATGAAACTGATGCAATATTGTCATGCCCAATGTGTTTTACCATACTAAGTTATCAAACACAAAAGTACAAATTAATCATTTTTGTTTTTTTTTTACCAAATTATTTAATATACATATTTATAGTTATATGATTTTATATATTTTATAGACATGAATTATATTCAAATCAATACCGAGCAATATTTGTGGAAAATTGTAAAGTCAATTATTTAGAGAAACTGGTTTATAAAGAAGACACGGAAAGTAAAAAATCCAAGAAAAAAATAAACAAACAGAACAAAGCAATAGATGATGAAAAAGTTGATAAATCAACACAAACATCAGAATTAAATAATAGTAATAATAGTAGTACTACGACTAATAATAATAGTACAATAGAAGAGATCTATTACCCTGTTGAATGTTTGAATTGTGGAACCAAAGTTGCTGTTATGGATGTAGAAGAAGTTTTTCATTTTTTTAATGTTATACCTTCTTAACTGGATCAAAAATATATTTTAAATTTATCTCAAAAGAGGGATTTAAGATGTATATACACTGTATATTTATTTATAAAAATAAAGCATTCTGCAGATGTAGGAGGGTGAGTTAAAAAATTATTTATTTATTTCTGCTCAACTATATCTTGACTTCTAGTATATAAAATTATAATATATATATATATATATATAGTATATAAATTATACATAAATATTTAAAAATTGCCTCAATCATAAATTTTTCCTTTTCAACTTATAAACTTCATGTTTTTCTAACAAATGAACATTTCTAGTATGATTTCTGAGATTTACACTATTTTTGTAAGCAAATGAAATCAAGGTTCTTATGATTATAAACAACAAGATTTACCATTAATACCATCACGTATTGTTGATTTAATATTATCTGAATCATATAAACAATTTGTTAGAATGATATAATGGATGTTGATGATCTTCAGTTATTAAATCACTTAATTGATTTTGATCAATCTTGAAAAAACCAAATTTTCAAGTACTTCAATCAAATATCCTGTATCCAACCAATTTTCCAGTTTCTTTAATTTTCATGATAATTATAGCCTTTTCAGTGTTATAACATCTATTATCACCTTAAGTCTCGGAAAATGTGTTTAACTTAACCAGAAATTAAAAGCTTTCATTTCTGAACTTGGTAATTTTCCATTTTCTGACCTTGGATATTTTAAAGAAGTTGCCAGTCATTTGTTGATAATAACGCGAAGGGATTCTTGGTATACTTGTTTATTAAGAACTTTTTCACAATGTCTAATCTTTTCATTAAATCATCTGTTGAAATTTAATTGAATTTTAACAGTGGGATTATTTCTTTTAACAAGTTTTCAATTTTTTTGCATTCATTCCATTTTTTTCATCCATTTGTCCGATACCACACTTAATGATGTAACCCCAAATTTCGACTTCGATTATTTTCAGATTAGCATTGACTTTTCTATAATTGTGTGGCCAATACTTTGGATGTTTTGATGAAATTTCATAAATGTGAATTAAATTTTGTTTTGTTGAATCCATCCATTCATTTTCTTTAATGATTAAATGAATGATTTTGTAAAATGTAATTCAAGAATTTCATCTGAACCCAGTTTACCTATTTTAACAGGCCCACATAAATCTATCTTTTAATAATAAAAATAAAAGCCTAAAATCATTGTATTTGATATATTATCTTTTAAATTTACATTCATTAAAAGAAATTTGAAGATATTTTCTTTTTCACAGACCTTGTTTTAAAATTTTTGATATCCATATCCATTTTAATTCTATATTGATATATAATTGATTATGACTAATATTAATATATATATTGTTTTACTTGATCAAAAACAACGACATCATGATAATAATAATTTTGACTAAAATAAATTAAAATAATAATAATGATCTAAATATTACATAACTCGAATGTTTTATTTATACATATATATAAATAGGCAAATAATTCAAAAATGAAAAATAAATAATAATTAAAAATGACAACACCTAAATTACCAGAACCAAAAAAAGGTTTTTTTGGTGGTATCAACGATGCTCAAAAAATAATTATACTTTCAATTTTTGTATTATTATTTGCAATTATTACAAGTGTTTATTATGTTGGATTGTATACAGTAATGAATTGGCTGTATGGTTGGATTCTGGATAAATTTGTTGATAAGGTCGATAAAGATGCTACTCAAATTAATGATAAAATCAAATATAATTAATGAATGGTAATTGTTATTATAAATATATTTATTAATATTAGTAATGATACATGCATAATAACTTAATTTCAATTAATATTCTAGTGTTCTATATATATTCAATTCTATAAAAATATAAAAATATATTTTTAAAAAAAGATTTTTTACAATTCTAAAAAACATCTTTGACATATTCCCCATTTTTTATCAAATGTTTTTGATTTTTATCTTCTAAAAATTTATAGTTTATTAATGTAATTATTTGATATTTCATAAATCAATAAATTAGCAACTTCATTTGCTAATAAAAATCTCGGGAATAATAATTTTCTTTATAGACTATTTCTTGAATTATTTTTCTTCGTAGTCATTACTCAAAATGACACTCAATTTGTATCCTGATCCATATTTATTTTTAAATCAATTGAAGTTCTCAATGCTTTGATTCTACCATTCAACATCACGCATATTTCAGCTTTTCCATAGAGTGAGTTGTCAAAACTATCACTTTATCTTTCTTAAAGCCGCTCAGACATTTCCAAATATGTCTTCTATTGGCAGGACCCATCCAATATTGTTGGTTCATCCATAAAAATTACTTCAGATTTCCTATTGTTGACATTAATTTTGTTAATCTACGCTTCATGCCTCCGTTAAAAGAACCAACTAGTATTTTACCATAAACTTTATTCAATTTCTATAACTACAACCTCTCGTTTATAACTTCAGTTTGTTCTAACTTCGATGAGTTTTTAATTCCAAAATACAATTCTAAATGTTCTTAAACTGTTAGGTCATCATAATGGACAAACACTGATAAAGTTCAAATCATTTCTCACGTTATAATAATAATTGTGCTATAGACGTAATAATGCACCTCCTCCACTTATTGATGTTGGACTTGATAACGTATTCATAAAAGTAATTTTACCTGCCCCGTTTTGTCCCGAGATTAAACAGTTATTTTTTTTTTTATCGATAAACAAAGTTTATCAACCGTTTTTGTATTTTTGTAAATACTAATTTTTGATTCGTAATCTAAATCGAAAACCAATCCTAAGGCTCCGAACGAATCAATGAAATTCGAACCAATTCGAATCCGAATTGTACTTTGATTCGAAAAGATTCGAATATATAATTTGATTCGAAAAGATTCGAATATATAATTTGATTCGAACGGATTTGAATATATAATTTGATACGATTCGAACTGATTTAATATATAATTTGATTTGAACTGATTTGATTTGATTCAAACTGACTGGTTCGAATCTATAATAATAACTGATTTGAATCAAATACACGCTGAGCTCAAGCCAGGCTCAAGTTTGATGTTACACAAATTTTTTCTATATAATACTTTGATTTTATTTATTATGCACATTATCTAAAAAACAATTTAAGAGCCTGCTTGGCTCGAACCTGAAAACTCAAGTCTGTTCAACCTAGAGAATAAAGTTAATAAAATGAATAATTCAAATTAATTGAGTTGTATTTCTACTATTATGAATAATTCTAATAAGAATTTGTATGATGAAACAAGTAAAGATAATTGGAAAAGAAGAATTTGTTAAGCAAATAATAAATGAATAATTCGAATACGAATAGAAATTCTACTTTTATAAACAAGACACGAAAATTTTTAATTAACGGTTGATTGATTATTCTTTCACTTGGTCAAAAAGTGACGTCAATATTTTCTTTTTATATGAAATTAAGAATCACTAGGCTTGAAGGCATGAAATTTCAATGTCGATCATCAAAAATTTTATTACGTTTTGCAGTAGAGATTAATTTCCGTTAATTAAACATTTGTCCGGTATGAGAATGGGTTTTTATCAATCAATCAAAAAATTTTTAATTGGCAAAATAACTTACAAAAGGCAATGAATTTAAAGCAGCTGATTCTCACAAAATAGTAATCAATTGATAATTTATTTGATAATGATTAATGAATGGTTAAATAAATAATAAATAAATACTAAATTAAAAATCTATAAGGTGATGGACCTATTTGTTGTTCTTTATAAGGTCCAAATGCTGGATCAGGTTTTGAATATTTTGTTAACTCTTGTACTATACGTCCACCAGGAATAAGTGCTTGAAGATCTGCTCTAGATGGAACTGTATCAAATGTAATCTATAATTAATCAATTAATAATATTAATTATATAAGTAATGATATCTTCCAATTTCCAATGACAAAGATGATAATAATAATATAATACTAACTGAATCATTAACTCTCACGTAACTATTATACAAATCATTAACCTCTGTATATTCTTGCGAAGCATGTATAGCAAGTGTAGATGATTTTGATTTTGAAATTTGATGAAACGCTTCACGCGCTTCTTTAATAAACCCTACAGCCGTACCAATTTTTCTATTTATTCATTTATTAGTTAATTTTAAACAAATAAAATAAATATCTGATTATAAAAAGAATATATTAATAAAACTACATACTGATGTTCGTAGGCATCCTTTGCTAAAAATTTCTTTCCAAGTGACTATAATAAAATCAATATTCAAACATATCATACATAATATATATAAACACACAGAGGAAACCACATAATATATATTCATTTACCTGATGAAATAAAGCACCATTCGAAACATATTTTCGAAAATTCCCACAAACTTTTTGTGGGTCTTTTAAACTATTAAGAAGTCCATTTGCAGATTCATATTCTACTGCAACGCCAATGGCCAACTTTGCAAGTAAAGAGGAAGATTTTTGTTGCATTAAAGCTTTACGAATCGCAATTGAAGATGCATCTGCAAGTGCGATTCTTGAATAAAATAGAAATAAAAATGATAATTTTTAAAATCATTTGTAGAAAAACTCTAAATACATATATGAAATATATATACTCACTTTGAAAGTGATGTTGATATTTCCGTTAAAACATCCAGTGGTCTAGAATTTGGTGGGTTTTCCCATCTTGGAGATATATTTTCTGTAATATAGGCAAAGATTCCGGATGCTTTACGTAATAAATCTGCTGCCTGTCCGTATAAATAAATAAATTTATAAACTAATTAATAAAAAATTGTAAATTTCATCCCAAATGATACAAAAAATATCTCTTTTAAAAGCCTAAAAAATGTAGTTTTTATTAATAAAAAATTAATATGGTATACGTTCTCCATTATTTTGTATAATAAGCTCACATAGGCATCGCATAAAATTTACTAAATTAATTAGGACATTATGTGGAATACTTTGCCATTCGTTAACCATAAATCGTTCTAATTCTCCACAATTTTGTGGCATCCTTTTCTCAACATTTCTTTTAACAACACTCCACAGATTTTCTATCGGATTCAAATCTGGGCTGTTCGAAGGCCAGTCTATAACATTTGGTACATTTTCTGCAAGAAAGACGTTGCAAGACGACTTGTATGCTTAGGGTCATTGTCTTGCTGAAACATCTATTCATTCCCAAGCATTTCTTCTATTTCTGAAACGTGCCTGCTAAGTATTTCCACATAAAATGACGCATCCATAATTTGTTTAAAAAAGGCTTGTTTTGCCTTCTACACAAAAACCACTCCACGCGTGAATTTTAGTACGATCCTTTGGCATCCTTCGAACTGGCCTTTTATCTTTATACCAACGTTCTACAGTATTTCTAAATAATAAAAAGGATGTCTCATCGGTAAATAATGTTTTATTCCAATCGTCATTAAGATGTCGTTGGGCCCATTGTACACGGTTTTCTTTATGAGATGTTGTTAACATTGGTGTAGCCATTGGCAGGGCTTTTTTATACCCTTTTTCGTGTATATGTCTAGAGATAGTTGAATAAGATACTTGCACATGATTTACCGATAATTTTGTTGCCAATGTTCTAGTCGAAATTGATGAATCTCTGTGTATATATTGCCCAAAGCTTTCGATGCTTCCGCAGTAATTTTTTTTTGACGGCCATTTCCTCCAAATTGCCAGTTGTTTTTAATTTTTTTATGTTATCATAGACGGTAGAAAGAGGAAATTTTGTACACTTATTTATTTCTTTGGCCTCACATACACCGTTATTCCATAAATGTAATATAGCTTGACGTTGGATTTCTTGTCTTGAAGTAGGCATTATATATTTAATTTTCTCAAAAAAGATTATCAATTATAAAAGATTTCAATATTTATTTTTGAAATATAAGTTCGTCTTGATTTTTTATATGGCATGAATTAGGCTTAATTTAGTATTAGGGACGCTATACATGTTTTTAGTTCACATAAAATTTTCCGGTTTTTTTTCGCAACACACTGCATATCAAAATTAACGCTTGTGCTGTTACAATATGAAGTAAGCCATTCATAAAGAATGAAATCAGCTTCAGAGACTGGAAACGTTGAATTTGCCTCTTTAAACTACACCAGTAGATTAATAACAAATGCTAGTTTTTGCACCCTTTTCATAAATGCAAATTCTAAATTCCTACATCTTTGATGACTTCTTCTGCTTTCCTCTTTGGCTGTTGGAAAATCGAGAAAATCAAGAAGTTGCTCGATTTCGAAGGTATAATATCTATTTAAAAATTAACACTATTTAAAAAACTACAATAGTGTAATGTACTTGCCCTAAAATTCAAGTATTGTTTCTTATCGAGTTTCAAGTCACTGTAATTCCTTTCTTAATTTGCCTTTGGTTTTTCTTATAATCCTCATGCTCCTGGAATTGATCGGAGACTGCAACATAATTAATTATATTAGTCAAATAATTACTTGTTTGTTAGTTATTCCATGTACAGCACTACGTGCATCTAGAAGATGTCATACAAGAGACGAATCAATGGTTATTAACACTGCATATAGCTGGCGACGTTGTTCAGTATTCAATACGTTGGGTCAGAATCAAATAATGCAAGAAAAGTTGTTGATGTTAAAAGAATATTTATTACGAAAGATTGGGCATTTATCAAAAATAAATTAATAACAAGGTTTATTTTAGTAAGTATTATTCTATAGTTATTTTATGATATAGTTTATTTTACATTAATCATATATAATTTATGA